TTCTCAGTTGTTGGAATTTGATTTCCCCTTTTCAGATCTATTGCGTTATATTTTCCCCTTCAGAAAGCCACAGGTTTTTTTGAAAATTGGAAAAAAATTACTGATAGAAAAAGGCTGAAATGTCTTTGGACCGATTTAGTTTTGGGACGAAACGTCTTGCGAAATTAACATATATATAATATAAAGCAGGAAATAAACTAAGCAGCAAAAGTATTTACCGTAGCCCAGCTTACACCATTATTTTTATTTTTCCTTGCCACAAATCGGCCATTGTTTTAAGTCCCAAGTTGTAAAATCATTTTTTCAGCTTCATCGTTGCTTTTTGTTATTACAGTAGCCATGTTGGATAAAGAGGGCGGAGTTACGGTTATTACCATAACCTTACGGTTTCTACCGTAACCTCTCCTCACTGGTGTCCCCGTAATGTACCTACGGCTATTGGTGGGTCAATAGCGATTACCCTTGTTGAACTGTCAAAAGTCCAGCGTGCTTCACTGATTGCATACTGCAAGGAAATATTTGAATTTAACGTCACATTCACTTAAAATGGGCTGGGCAGGCAAAACGTATTGTTATATATGTTATATATGTACGAGTTGTATGTTATAATTTAAGCGTACTGACCATTAACAAAAACATATTTAAAATATAAGTTCATCTCGACCTTTACCTTTGATCAAAAATGGGCATGGCCAGTAGGACACTTCAAGGTTAATCTACTCACAAAGTTATAAATTGTAAAAATGACATAATATATTGATAATTCGGTTTCATATAAGGGCATCTGGTTCCATATATGGCTTATTTGGTACCATATATTGAAGAACTGGTATCATATAAAGTGATAATCAAGTCATATATTGCTACTTTCCATACTTTGATCAATTGGTTTCATATATTGTTAAAACGAATTAATATATTGATAATTCGGATTCATATCAGGACATCTGGTTCCATTCATGGCTACTTTGGTACAATATATTGAAGAATTTGTATCATATAATGTGATTATCAACTTATATATTGATACTTTGGTTCAATTCATTGATAAATTGGTTTCATGTATTGTAAAAATGAATTAATATATTGATAATTCGGTATCATATCAGGACATCTGGTTCCATATATGGCTACTTTGGTACCATATATTGAAGAATTGGTATCATATAATGTAATAACCAACTTATATATTTCTACTTTGATTTCATAAATTGATACATTGGTTTCATATATTGAAAAATGAATTAATATATTGATAATTCGGTTTCATATAAGGATATCTGGTTCCATTCATGGCTACTTTGGTTCCATATATTGAAGAATTGGAATCATATATTGAGAAAATCTACTTATATATTGCTAACTCGGTTTCATACACTGACGGTATGGTTTCATATATTGTAACTGTGGATTAATAGTCGAAGTGAACTTATATATTATCCAAATGGTTACATAAATTGAAAAAGAACAATATCAGACAGCCATGGCTTTCCATAGATTGCATTCATTACGATGGCTGATTTATGCCATGTCCAGATGTCGCATTTTCGCTCCGCGGGGCGCCAGACGAAAATACGAAAATACGTCAGTGATAAAAAAAAGAAAGAAATAAAATTAAAACAACAAAACAACAATAATTCTAATTCTTTTTTTCCATATCATTACTTTTTTTCTTTCGTTAGTAATACATCTCAATTTTAAACATTATTCTTTTAAAACGCCAAACCCTCTTTGATTATAATTCAGTTTCAGAAATGATAGCTATAAAGGGACATCATTACATGTATTATTTCAGGTTTATTCTGCCGGTTTTTATTTAACATCGAGTATAATTTTGATTCATTTTCAAGATCGAAGTATGACTGGGTTCCATTTTTTTGCGCTGTTCGTTTATTGCCTTTTGAAAGCCGATATTATTTTCCGGTTTGTCAGCAAATGTTGTTTTTGGCGATATTATTTGCATACCATGTGTTACATAAATGTTTTTATAGAACGTGCTTATAATTCAAATGATACGGAAGTTATCGCTAAATGCAATGATTTATTTTTGCAGCAGATTATTCTGTCCGTGGCGTTTTGCCATCTCAATAACCTTTTACATAATCTTGGAATAACAACACCACACTTTGCATGGAAGTAGGGATTTATAGTTAATGCTATTATGAATCTATGCATGTTGATAACTTAACAGATAACATGCTGGAAATCAGTTTGGCCACACCACGTGGCGTATTAAGGTTTTCTTTAAGGTACCAAATCCAATTTATATTCCGATTCGGAGGAGAAAGTGCTGAAAATAAAGTTTTTTTTCTTCATTTATTAGAATGAAAAATAGCGCACTCTAAGCAGGAAACTCTTCTCTACATATAGGTCTACGTGATATTTGTTGTAAGATATTATTTCTTTCCTAACAATAAGGAAAAATGTCGGAGTTCCTTTCGAAAGTAGTCAGCGACTTTTTGCATTTATACCACCACGTTAGAAAATATTCATTTTGTGACAAAATTATATAACAAATGCATAATTACAGTTGGCATAAGTAAAATACTCAATGACGTATACATGTGTATATAGGGAATGTATATGGCAACTATGTATTGGAGCATTAAATTGTTCCAATCCAAACGTATCTCTAAGTAACTTCGGATGTTACTTCGCACCTTTTATAAGTAACAATAACATTTGTTACATCCTGTAAGTTATGTGTCGAAGACATTTTGCGCATCATTAAAGTTAACACGATTAATAAAGAACGTGTCCGAATTAAGTTTGTCTTACTGTAAGCTCTAAATTCACGAATTAGCATTAATCTGTCTTCTTTGATCTTCCGGTAAATCCTCCATGTATATCTTTTTTAAATCAAGTATGCCAATATTATTTATAAGGAGGGACGTTATATAATGATTTGCCATTGAGGTAAAGGACTGATCAACGGCACAACATGGATAGTAGCACATATATAATTTTCTTTATTTTGCCCTTCTCCTTTGCGGAAAATTGGACAACTTCCCCACCTCCCACAACGTCTTTAGGTACACCAACTACAATAGCACCAAAAGAGACGTGCGAATGCCTTAACATAACGGGACTACAACAGGACTTAGATAAGATTATTACAGTCTTAGGTCAAACTGTAAAACTTGATCTGTATCGTTCAGAAATTAATGGCATTTTATCAGAGCTTGCAGAAATTAAAGACGCGGTACAAGATAAAACCTGTCAATGTACAGAGGGAAGTATACTAATTCAATTGGAGGAAAAGGCAAACGAGATGATTGACGAAGCTCTTACGCTGGCGAACACAAGTGCAATATGTGCCTGTCAAAATAGTAAACAAATGTCTAATGACACACAGATTATAGTAGCAAGAATAGATAAACTAGGAACACTGACGAGTTTAATTCATAAAAGTGTAATCGACTGCGAGGAAGAATTACAAAGATTTGAATCCAAGTTAGATATCATTATAGACAATACTTCTGACAATACTAGCTTTGATCATAGACTTAACGAAATTCTTGATAAAGTGTGTGCAATACAAAAAGATGGTTGCAAATGTGAAGATCAGTTCAAAGTTATTTATGACCTGGTTTCTGAAAGAATGAAAACCGTTCTAGACAAACTTGATAAAATTAACAATGTAAATGATTCTAAAATAGAAGCAGTACTGAAGTTTCTTGAGAAGATCGATGGAAAAATAGATAAGATTATGGAAAAAAGTAACACTGTAATAAAACAAGAATGTAATTGTCTTACATTTAATGAGTATATAATAAACCTTCCCAAGTGCTGTGACGACCCAAAAGAAAAAGAATTAGAGCATGAGATGAAAAAGGAAAAAGAAGGTAAGCTATCGTCCGATCACAAGAAGCAATGATAATAATGAGCTTACAATCTGTTGAAATCATTATCTTTAAATCGATTAAAATATATTAGCATTAGGCAATATTCACAAGGAAGTTATAATTATGGAATGTTGCAGGTTGCATCATGGTGAACGCTCATTTCTTATTTTTTGAGAATCATCTGTCATGAGTATAAAAACCAGCTGCCAAGACATGAAAAACTCTCATCCGTTCTCTCAGTGCTTGAAAGGGCAGAATGACCCTCATTAAGAATAGAACACGCATGCACGCACGCGCGCGCATACGCACACATGATAAACTACTAAAGCAAATACGCATACCGAACAGACTAAATCAAAAAAGAAACATGTTTGCAGAATGATCGTGTATATAAAAGAAACAGTTTATTGTCTCAAACTAGTTTTGTGATATTTTTAACAGATTATATGAAGTCCGCGATGCTTCTTCGTTTTTTTTGCTACTTTATTTAAGGCCTCAACAGACGGTAGGATTTTGAAGTAGCTAAGATGTACAGACAAATCTTAATGTGCGAAGGCTACTATTTCTTGAATTCGGAAACCTAAAGTCTAGATGTAAGGGATAGGACATGTTCTATTTTGAAAATCTTGTCGTACAGATTTCTACAGACCTCCCACAATGACAAGTAACATATTACCAAATTATCTCCTGATAATGGGTGTAATGAATGAAATTCCAGAACAATTAGGGCTAAAAGGTAAACAAAGTAGTAAGATGGGGTAAAAATGATGTTGAAAAACTCTTCAGGAGATCCAAAGTTGTGTTATGTTCGAATCCCAAATTGTTTCGAAAATGATTATGTCACGGTATTGAACTGTTTTCTAATTAGGGAGGTAGTTTGTAGGCGGCCGGATAGCTCAGTCAGTAGAACCGCAGTACGGTATTCCGAGGTACCCAGGTTTGAGTCTCGGTCAGGCTGCACATTAAAAAAAATAAAATTTAACATTTTCTTTTTAAACAAATGGAGGTGTTTCAATCATTACTCATGGAGAAAAAAAAATTTAGTGAGTAAAGTATGATGTAAGGGATCAATTGGGAGGGCACTTTTTTAGGGAAACCTGAGATTATTCCTACTATGCAGATTTACCGTCTGAATGCAAGTGTTGTATTGCTTTGAAAATTGTACGTCTTATCTCTAATAAGTGTTGTACGACTTAATCCTACCGTCTGTTGAGGCCTTTAAGTTTCAAGTAATATCCGTCAGACACAACATACTCTAGAATGAAAGATATAATTGTTTCTGTTCTCTTTCTCGACGATAATTTGATGTTGAATATGTAACTTAACTTAGGAAGTCACATCTCCGTATCAACTATGTTATACATATTTGCTTTTATAGCCATTAAAGATATATGAATATTACATACAAAACTAATAGAATTGTTACGATGAGAAATTTGTTTAAACTGTCGTTAATAGTTTGAATATTCTCAACGTGAAATAACGTCATCATTTAAAAATGACTTTAGATTTTTACAATGTTAACCATAGTGCTTTTTAAAGAAGTAATTGTAAATTTTAGTCTTAATTGTAAAATTTTTCGTCCACGAATATGCAACATCTACAAGTAACAATCATTTAATTTTTCATATGGAATATTTTTTATCCTATCTTAAGTTTTCATAAAAACTAATTCCTAAAAATATTATTATATTGTCTTACAATTCTTTTTATGTTATGTGTTTTAGATGTGAAATGTGAATCGATAATGGATTTGCTTCACATATATTTTGATAAATACGCGAAGTCTTGAGGAATGCATAAAGTGAAAATTACTACATTTAGTATATTTCGAAATAATTTAAAACAGTAATCAAATAAATTTAATCCCATGAATAAGTCAAAAACAAGTCAAAATTATTGAAATATAATACATGTACATGTATGTTAATTGTTCAGTAAAGTATTGTCATGTGTACGTGATAATTTTGGCATGTAAAGAAGAAGAACACCAATTGTTAAAACAATTTGAAGGGATTGGAATCTTTCAATGTATCGGCATATCATACAACTGAAGTATATTTACAAAACTTGCCGACAGCAGCGCTAAAAGTTAAACATGAAACTCTAAACTTCTTCAAGAATAACCTTGTATTATGACTTAGATAACTAGAGCAGTTAGTTAATATTTTACAATATCAACAATTTTAGAGAATACTCTAGGTTAAAATTTAACCAATTCGTTCGCATGATTTTTTTTATCTGACCAGTCTGTTTTTTTACGGAAAAATCTATATGTAAAAAAAAAAAAAGAAAAAAAGATTCAATAATTGAATTTTTAGCTCGATATATTTATGAACAATTCACTTACGTGATCGTGTTACTTGACCCTTTCTATTGCAGTAAAACCATGGGAAATATCTGAGATGTGTAAGGAAGAGTTGCTTTGTGACTACGAATCGTGTATAAAAGATGCTATACACGATCTGGACGACTGGTTTAAGCCGGGTACCTGGAACAGGATGCCTCAAGGAATCAAGAAAGTTATGATTATTCTGTACTGTAAAGCTGGTCTTAAAAATTTGAAAAGCTTCAAGGCTGGTAAACTACTGCTTGAGGTAAATATATATTTTGCAAAGGCATACACCCTGTTCAGAAATTAAGAATTTAATTTTAATGTAAAACAATTCAACCCTTAAATTGCATAATTTGTGCAATTTATTTGCTCTTTCTTAAATTTGGAGAGTTCATCTGGTGTTTATGTTAAGGGACTTTAATAGCAGAGCATGGCCAGGATGTTTGGAAGTGTAGTCTGACCTGACATTACACTGGTGGCAAAGGCTAGTCACAAGTTAGTTACATATATGTAATTAGGCTATAAATTAAAAAAAGTGGCATGCAGATGGATCAAGAATGTTATTGAAATGTTCTGAAAGAAAATATCGTAATCAAAACAGGGTCGATACAACTGCAAGGAATAATTATAGACCTATTATTTAAGGACCAAATTTTAAAGATATCATAAAATTGAAAATCGATAGCAGAAAAGTTTAATTCAAGTAGCATGGCCTAAATTCTTGTTATTGCTAAAATACCAAAAATACCTGATATATCTTTGCTTTTTGTTTAATTACAGGCCGGAAAATGGAAAGAAGCTGCTGGAAGCTTAGGTAGGACAAGATGGGCCAGGCTAGATCCCGTGTCAGCTAAAGATCTTATAAAGAGGTTACTCGAAGTAAATGAAAAGATGGCGGACCAATGAAATGTTTATCAATCAATGATGATAAGATGAATAGAGTGATATGTACCTTATAACTTGTATAAATTACCACCAAAATAAAGACTAAAAGATATGATTTGCGTTTTTGATTTTCTTCCGTTGGAATTGTAAACCATCATTTTAAAAAGACAGAAAAAGATCAGGCGACGGAAACAAATGTTGAAGTAAGATGGCGGACTTTTTTCAATGCATCAAGACAATGAAAACATAACATTAAAACACGTATAAAACAGTTGCTTCAGGAAAATCTCAGAACTCCACATTTGTTTACTGCAATAAAAGTTATTTATTACATAAAATATAAAAATCTTTTGAGCTTTATCATTTAGTGTTAATACCATGAAATATTTTTTCGTCACAATTTTACAGCAATGCAAACAAATTAGTGCAACAGTGACAGAATATGTATGATTCAATGAAGCATATCATGTCTATACATGAATATGTGTTAGTGTAACACAAATGCTGGCCCTTTTCTTACTTTCTGTATTACGAAACGGTTAGCTTTGCTGTCTTAACATAATTACTGTTGAATTAGAGCATGTCATAATAAATTAAAGCTTAAAACATGAACTCAAATTCATAGGAAAAGATGCATCAGAAATAAAAGTTTTTCGTAGTTCTGCAAAAGTTACAACAAAGCAGAAACTGATATTCTGATTCTTTAGAGTTTTATTTACAAAATTTACATGTCGTCGTATCAGTTTTTCAAAGCAAAAAGTGCCAATTGGTCAATATGGAGTTCTACCTTCTGCTGTATACAAAATTTTCAGCCTATTCCTATAATCAAATACTCTTTTTATTTAGATGTACCCCATACTTGAACTAACTTGAAAAAAACCCAACCTGTATTTCACATCCAAGACACATACAACATTTATAGATGACAGCCCCGAAATATCTTGAAAAGAAAAACCCTGTATATTAAATCCAAGACACATACATCATTTAAAGATGAAAATCCCATAATATCTTGAAAAGAAAAGCCTGTATATTATATATCATTTTAAGATGAAAACCCTGTAATATCTTGAAAAGAAAAAAAGTAAAATTGTATATAATATCCAAGATACATACATCATTTTAAGATAAAAATCCAGTAATATCTTGATTTTCTACAGATGAAAGCGCAGTATTACTGTCGAATTAATGATTCCTGTATGTTCGGCTTTTGCCGTTTCGTGTATTGTAATCGTCCGCTACTAGACTTGACCAACGCCAATTTATCTATGGATTCAATGTTTCTTAATATATTGGTGTGTCGAAAATATTGTCATCATGTTAAAACTTCAATAAAATTTATGGTGGTTGATTTTCGCCATATCGTATTTTCTCTTCTTCGCCTCAAAATGCGAAAATGCGAATTTTCGAGGCAACAAAGCGAAAATACGACAGAAGGAGGGAGAAAATACGACACATAAATACATAGCAAATCAATTCATTCAATAATACAAAAATGCGAAAACACAAAGAGACGACAAAGTATTACTTTGTCGTCTCTTCACATTTATCCCTTTTCGCATAGTTACATTTTCGAATTGTTACATTTTTGCATTGTTACATTTTCGAATTGTTGCATTTTCGCTTTTTCGCATTGTTACATTTTCGAATTGTTGCATTTTCGGTTTTTCGCATTGTTACATTTTTCGCATAATTATATTTTCGCATTTTCGCGTTCCGGTTGTACATGCGCGTGGAGACATCAATTCATTATTTGATAGTCCTATATTAGATATCTTGTATTCACGTAGATGTATAATTTAAAAGTATCATCCCGCTCCTTACACATGTATAATAATTAAATAATGTAACTGCAAGGCTTTCATATTGTTTTGAATCAATTAATGTAACAATTATTATAACAAATACGTGTGACATGAGATTTACGATAAAGGCACTGCCCGCAAACATCTTAAAATAGATGTCTGAGATTGAAGTGTATTTTCACAGTAAAACATTTTATAATGTCTGTTATTCAAGTACTAGACATTTTAAAACATACTTTATCTGATTACGTAGAGTGCATGTTGGGTCATTTAAAATTTATATAATAATATGTAAAATCATTTTTATTCATTATTACATTATACCATGTTGTCAGGCGTTCATCGGGTCTTTAAAACAAAGATCTCTTGATGGTCATTCTGTCTTCCCCATATTGCATGAATATCAATTAAAGGAGAACAATAAAAGTTCATAGAAAAATTCAATAAACATACTGTTTTTAGAATGTCCGTGAAGTACGCGGGCTAACGGGCTAGCAGTCTAGCGGGCTAACAGTATGAACTGAGCGGGCTAGCAGTCTAGCGGGCTAACAGTGTGAACTGGGCGGGCTAGCAGTGTAGCGGGCTAACAGTGTGAACTGGGAGGGCTTAGCAGTCTAGCGGGCTAGCAGTGGTGAACTGGGCGGGCTGGCGGGCCAGCGGGCTAAAATCTAAAACTTTATTGATTGAACATAAAAATGTTATTATACATTACCTGGCAGTGTGAAGTGGGCGGGCTAAACAGTGTAGTGGGCTAGCAGTGTGAACTGGGCGGGCTGGCGGGCCAGCGGGCTAAAATCTAAAACTTTATTGATTTAACATAAAAACGTTATGATACATTACCTAGCAGTGTGAAGTGGGCGGGCTAACAGTGTAGCGGGCTAGCAGTGTGAACTGGACGGGCTGGCGGGCCAGCGGGCTAAAATCTAAAACTTTATTGATTGAACATAAAAACGTAATGATACATTACCTAGCAGTGTGAAGTGGGCGGGCTAGCAGTGTAGCTGGCTAGCAGTGTGAACTGGGCGGGCTGGCGGGCCAGCGGGCTAAAATCTTAAACTTTATTAATTGAACATAAAAATGTTATGATACATTACCTGGCAGTGTGAAGTGGGCGGGCTAACTGTGTAGCGGGCTAGCAGTGTGAACTGGGCGGGCTGGCGGGCCAGCGGGCTAAAATCTAAAACTTTATTGATTTAACATAAAAACGTTATGATACATTACCTAGCAGTGTGAAGTTGGGCGGGCTAGCAGTGTAGCGGGCTAGCAGTGTGAACTGGACGGGCTGGCGGGCCAGCGGGCTAAAATCTAAAACTTTATTGATTGAACATAAAAACGTTATGATACATTACCTAGCAGTGTGAAGTGGGCGGGCTAACAATGTAGCGGGCTAGCAGTGTGAACTGGGCGGGCTGGCGGGCCAGCGGGCTAAAATCTAAAACTTTATTGATTTAACATAAAAACGTTATGATACATTACCTGGCAGTGTGAAGTGGGCGGGCGGGTAGCAGTGTAGCGGGCTAGCAGTGTGAACTGGGCGGGCTGGCGGGCCAGCGGGCTAAAATCTAAAGCTTTATTGATTGAACATTAAAACCTCATGATACATTTCCTAGCAGTGTGAATTGGACGGGCTGACAGTGTAGCGGGCTAGCAGTGTGAACTGGGCGGGCTGGCGGGCCAACGGGCTAAAATCTAAAACTTTATTGATTCAACATAAAAACGTTATGATACATTACCTGGCAGTGTGAAGTGGGCGGGTTAGCAGTGTAGCGGACTAGCAGTGTGAACTGGGCGGGCTGGCGGGCCAGCGGGCTAAACTTTAATATTTCTTAGAAGTGTGACAATATGAAAACCTCATGATACATTTCTAAGAAGTGTGAAGTGGGAGGCTGGCGTGTTCATGATTCATTAAGTGAAGTCGGCGTTTTTTCATCATGGCAAAGAAACAGGCACAGTTATGGACTTACAAACGGATTAAAACCAAAAACCTTTTACTCGAGCCAACTTGTGGCGAACTGGTTTAATATAACCGGACTCTCAGTCCAGGGGCAGAGATTTTTCTGGGGTCACTCCTGTCAAATATTCCGTATTAAATTTAAACCATGGTCTCAACAACCAGGGATGGTTATGGAACTGACATCTTTTGTTTAAATAGCAAAATCTAGACATTTTTAAAACTCCTTATCCGGCAAGGCTGAACAAACCTACGGACATTAACACTTAATTTAAGTGCTTTGACCGAGTATACTCAGCCTTTGCGAACATCGAAGATCCACATCAGTCGGTGCGCATTCGCGCCGTCTGCCAAGAATCTACACTGTTTACTGCCCAACCACTGAGTATGATTCTAGTGTCCAGGCACCGAACATTGTGGAACCTGATCAACCGGCTATTGTTGGCGCCTATTGATATAACTCAAAAACGAGAACGGTGACCCCAAATTCTTTTTTGCTTAAAATGTTTCTGTTATCATATTTTAACAACATGGCAAGTTTAAAAAAATTCTATTGAACAGTTTTAATTTTGATGGCAACAGTTGCTTCTCTGTGATCAAAATTCTGATTTCATTTTTTTCAATACGGGCGTTGACAAGAAAATACAAGAAAATGCGAGTTTGTTATCGTATTATATTTTCAATTTGATAGAACTTATGCTGCGCTTCGCGTGGCTTGCAATAAGTTCCATAAAATTAAAAAAATAAACAATAACCTATACTTATAACAATCTCAAATATTATGCAAAAGTTATTTTTCAAAAAATATTAAGAAATGTCAAGGAACAGTATTTGTGGTTAATAAACCTTTCGAAAATTTCGAAATTTTTCACGAGCTTATGCATTCTTACTGACAACATGCAACATAAAAATATTTCTGAATACATACACAAGCCAACAAAGTTTATGTATCGTGGATGTGCATAATACATTAGTTCAAACGAATGAACAAAACATGAAAATTCAATACATGATAAAACGTTAAATAATTTTCAAAAATATAAAAAATGAATGACAATTGTTGAATAAATTTTGTCAAACATATTGCAAATTGTCCATTTATATAATGACAGTAACTTAGCGTTTGATGCTATGGTAATTCTTTGTTGTTCTTAGGTGTGTGCCTTAAAATGATTTTAGATTTTCGAGAAAAAAAACAACATAATTTAAACAAGAAATCAATAATACAGTCAAATCAAGATAATTTGATCAAATTTGCCATGCATATAGAAAAATATACCTTGAATGAAAATATTGTATGCATGATTACAACATATGAGAGAGACACATAAACTAATGTATTTATTAGAAGCAAAGATATCCCCCTAATTCTATATAACTAGCATTAGACAACTGTCAATCATTTCTGGATGACACTCGAATAGACATTAGTTAAAATAAGAAATTACTTGCCCATAAAGGTTAAAAGCTATAAAACATGCATATGTGCTACAAAATCAATTATTTTCAACCTATAGGTAAACGATGATATTTATCAATTACAGATAATACCGAAAATATAAGGTATAAAAATAAGTTTTTAAAAGTAAAACATTATGTTATACAGTTTAAAATTGTCCAGATAAAATTATGCAGAGAAGTTGTTGAAAATGATGTTAATAGTGTCATATGGCTTCTGTTTCAAAATCACATTATCATTACAGTTTGGAAACAAACAAAAAATTGAAACAAAATGACAATATCTGGATTAAGTGCTAACGAAATTTGTAGTTCAATAGTTCAATAATAAAACTCAAATTTACACAGTACAACGTAAAAAGATACAATTGCTTAACTTATGATGTCGTTTCAAGAAAACTATTCAAATTCTAATTTATATTCAATAAAGTTTAAACGAAAGAACGAAAGATGGTTCCCAAAAACTATTTAAAACTAGACTGTGTCCTCAGGACACTGTCTAATCTTTTAGAAAAAAAAGAAGAAAACCTCAAACGAAGTCCCTTGAAATACTGCAATTCTGATCTAAAAATCTAAAGTGACAAGGGACAAACAAGTTAACATTAGTACACTATATGATACATAAGAAAAACACACATTAATACAAATAATTTCAGAAGATATTATCACACATTATCTAATTATTAGAAAATTTCTTCATGCACAGTGATTATGCAAAAGCAATACAAACTTAATGTTTAATATAAATATTTTTGGTCACTTATTTGTGTGTTATACATAAATTTTATACATTTTACAATCGAATGACTTATCTTATATGAATCTATTGAAAAATAAATACTGCATATGAATATTGCCTGACATGTATTTTCATTTGTATAATATAGACATTTTGAAGGGTATATAGCTATATCTAATGAAATATTTTTCTAAAACTTATTAAAGGTAAAATTATATTGTTTCCATAATGTTTTGGCCGATTCTCAAACAACTTGTAACATAGAATTTATGGGTTATTTAACACACATGACTATTGTACGTAAACAGAATAAAGAGTTCCAGACCAAAATATCAAAATATTTCAAAACGTATTTTAACTGTTGAGCAATTAGTTTCAATTAGTTTGTACATGCACCAGTCGCTGTTAAGGAAAATAAAATAACAAACATTTTTTCCTTCATACAGGTATTTTGGATGTACATTTGTATTACTTTTCAAGATAAAAACAATTATTTTGTCAGTACAGACAGTTAATATGTAGTTTCATACATTTTAAATGTTTTAATTTAATTATATATGCCATGTATGTGCACACTGTATCTTCATAAAATTTGCATACATCATTATATACAGTATATTGCATTATCTTTTATCAATTTATTTTTTCTTGTTGATAAAAATGTACATGATGCTATAAATATAAAAGATATGTTGCATTGTTATCTTAAGAAAATCAAGTACAAACACACATGTGACATAATAACTTATGTGATACGACACAACAAATAACTGTTACACATACAATACCAAATCACATTTCTATCACAAACAATGTAAGTGGTAGTTGATTTTAACTATAACTGCATTTTTCATCTGAAATAAACTGTCTAGGTTTGTCAAGGTAAATGACCAAAAAGAATCCTGGGATTCAAGACTAAAAAAGCCCTCAAAAGCTGTCAGTAGGACAGTGAGCTTGACTATTCCTAACGCTTGATAGTAAAACAAGAACCTGGATAATGTAGAAATTTCTCAGTTCAAACAGGGCCATAATTCTGTCAAAATTCATGTTACAGTTACGGACCTTGGACAGTTACCTCCCAATTCCTTCAGTAGTTTTGAAGGTAACAACTTGATTAAAAAAACTTCACAAAAGTGTGATGCCGACGCCTGGGTGAGAACAACAGCTCTCCCTATACCTCGGAAGGTCGAGCTAAAATTTACCAAAAACTACAGATGTTTTTAATATAAAATGTTGATATTTACATAATTCCTATCCCAACAGTTGTTTGTTACAGTCAACAAATGTTTGTAACAGATGATCACAGAGAAACAAAAATAGATAGTACTCTACCTCTTTATGCTGACATTTAGATAAGAAATCACTTTTTAACAAGTATCTATATTGACTCCTAACAAAATATAAATAAATAAACTAAATATTTACAAATATATATTAGCAAGAATATCCAATAAATGTTGTTTTTAATATCAAGCAAATCCTCTTTTTAATGAAGTAAATAAATATCCTTCCATATCCATTTTGTTTTCTTCTGCCTGTTATAAACATCATCATATAGACTCATCTAAGTTTATGTAAGTGTTAATCCGTGCTGTTCTACAGAAATTAGAAACTTCAAGGGAGCGAGACCGACTAGAGAATGTTTCTAATTTCTGTAGAACAGCTACGGATGAATACTAACATATTTAGTGTCAAGCTTTACATGTATTTGGTTTCATCGATATTCACTTTACGTCACAACTAATTAAACAAATTCAGTTCTATGAAGCATTCTAAAAAATAGTGTGTGACTATGAACAGAATTTGATATAGTATCGATTTTTGTTCTTCTATAAATAAACACACAATTTTTTTTAAGAATTACAGCAGTTCCATTGAATTACCTGAACACTAAAGAATTATTACTTCTATGTCTATGTTAGTGTTCATCCGTGCTGTTCTACAGAAATTAGAAACTTCGACGGGAGCGATAGCTACAGGAATTGTCCAAGATAGTTAATTGACCAATCGAGAAGCCATGGTCCTCCGTACGAACATTGTATAGGTGGAATAGAAACATCATTGCAAACTATTGACAAACATTTTCAACAGTATAAATGACATGGAAGGTCATTTTCCGTCATCACAGACATTAACAAAGTTGTCTCCCCCTATGTCAATGGACTTGTCTGCTATCACAACAGTATTCTTGTTCAAATATTCATCCAATTTCCGGAACACATCTCGAGGGGATTTCTTAGCTTTCGTTTCAATATCTGATATGGAAATAAAAATATTAAAACATATTAATAATTCAAAACAGCAAAGTTGAAATTCAATATGAAAAAAAGAATGATGTAATTTAAAGAATATAAGTCATAAAAGGCTAAAGTTATAAAATGAAACCTGGTTCTTTATTAACTTTTAAAATAGATTTTAATTTGCTTCTAAGTTGATGTTTTTTCCTCAATTTTTAGAATTTAGTCTAAAAATGTCACACCGTGTATAGATTTATACAATTAATAACATGTTGTATGGTAAGTAAAGGTTGTTCTTATAATACAAATTGTTACTCTATAGGTTTAATATGAAACTACTGTAACAGTGTATATACTTAATTTTAAACCTTAAGTTTAAATTTGAAGTGTATGTTTAGCCTCTTCTAACATTTTCTTGGAAAAATTTTCCGTTAACCTTTTGAGCCAGTGTTTTGTTAGCCATGTGAGTTATTTACTGTTCATGCAAAGTAAATTATAAACTTAAAACAAATAATGGCAAATTATGTAAACTTTGACATTCACCTGTTCACTCACTTATAATATACACTTGGATGGGCATAATGTCACTTTAAGTCATAAGCCACTGACTGTGAAAATATCTTAACTATTTAAAGTTGTGCATTTTACTCCTGCATGAGAAAAAATAACTCTATAAACAACCATTTAATGCAAGAATGATAATGTCGTGCCCACAACAAGAGTATTCCATGCGTTATAAGGGTCCATCCTCCCTTTTCAGGTACTAAAAGTACCAACCCCCTCGCCCACAACAATTCAAATTTGATCCATTTTGAAAATGTCTGCAACTTGAGAGCATAGTTTGATGTCTCAAACACCTCATATAAACAATGGACAGTCCTAAATTAACAACATGACTACTCAATTACAATTTATCAAGAAGGACTGGAAGGTAAACAGCTCACAATGGAAACTTAAAAACTTTTTTTTGACAGCTTTACCTTTGATGACAAAGCCTGAGTCTGATATAGTTTTACCCTCTCCTTCCCAAATCTGGTATAAATGTAGATAAAGGCCTGCATAGAAATCATTGACAACACGAACAACTTCATGACGTCTATTGCATTCCATTGAAAACAGAAAAAAAGCATTTAAGCATTAAAGAAGGTTCATTGTCTTGAATCAAAAATAAAGAGAAAGAAAATAGTCTTAAAAACTTAATACAGCGATTTGAAAATTCATAACTCTAAAATTCCTGTATGAAAGAATTATGTTGGTATTTTTCCTTAAAGAGAGAAAAGTGATATTTTCCATAGTTTGATAAACTATTTCTGATGATAACTCAGTAAACATGTGATTTACCCACCATAACATGCTCAGCTTGGTTTTAACATATTTATTTAAGCTTGATTGTGTAAAAGGTTCTTGCTACTTATATTAATCACTTTCGAGTCCACTTCCTCGAAACAATCAGTAATAATTGGTGTCATATGAAGAAACATGGACACGAACTGATTAGGCCTCAAACCCATGATCCTAGGGTTGAGAGACAGACACCTTAACACCTAAGCCACCACTCCCCTGCTCAACTGTTCATAAAACATGCAAATAATTTCACAAAGACAAATGATGTAGTAAAAATTAATGCTAGAACTAGAAGGGTAACGTTTTTGTCACAAAACATATGTCTCCCAAAAATATGTATGGTCACTCATGTGAAGTTTCATTGAAATCCAACCAACAGCTTGACTTGCGAAAGCATGAAAATGTTTTTCCTATTTATAGCTCTGGCTGCAATTATATGCATGACCTGTGAAAGCCAGTCAAGACTTTCCCATTTTAGCTCAGGCGGCCATTTTTTGCAGCAAAGCAGAACATGCCCGTGATGTGCACAACTAGAGATGGTACTTTATAATCTCTCCTGCAAAGATTGGTTGAAATCCCACCAGTAGTTTGTCCTGTGAAGGCTGGGCAAGATTTTTCTATTTTTAGCTCTTGTGGCCATTGTGTCCAGCATGTGCCAGTAATGTGCACAACTTGGGATGGTACTCATCACTCCTGTAACGTTTGGTTGAAATCCCACTAGTAGTTTAACCTGTGAAGGCCGGACAAGATTTTTCTATTTTTAGCTCTAGCAGCCATTTTGTGATGAGAAGCATATCATGCCGGTGATGTGCAAATCTAGGGATGGTACTGATCACTCCTGTAAAGTTTGGTTGAAATCCCACCAGTAGTTTGACCTGTGAAGGCCGGACAAGCAAAATGCTGACAGACAAACACCGAAGGCAAACACAATATGTCTCCCAAATACTTTGGTAGACATTACTATGGGTAAAGATAAAAAAACTGGAAAATATTACATTAAGGACATTTCTATAGTAACCAATCAATATACCTTCATATTTAAAATCTTAAAATGCCTACCAAATATGCCTAGAATAAATTGATTTGAGAAAATTGAAAAAAAAATTGTAAAAACTCTTCCCAAAAGCAGTTAATCTTTAAAAAAGCAAATAAAAAAACAAACAATAAAACATTAGAATCCTTTAAAGGAAAATTCTGTTACTGGTCTACAGAGCTTATAAAATCAATACTTTTTCTTTTCTGTTTTTATATATAAAAAAAACCCACAACCTCTAAAATAAAATCTTAACAGTGTAAAATATCATCAGGAAAAAATTTCAGTCAAATGTCCTAGTGAACATCAACATGGTGAAAAAATGCTTAGCACTTACCATTAAAATTTTAACAAGGTGTTTATTTTAAGTAAGATTTGAAAAAAACAACAAGAGAAATTGATTCAAGTAAGTATTTGTGCACATGACAATTCAATTAATGTTCCTTTAAATAGGAGCTAGAAATAGCAAATTATTTAAGAGTGTATGACAGTTCTCACTCCTTCTATAGAAAAAAGGCTAGATCTGCAAACGTCAGGATGATCAGAAAATAGAGTAAAATAGAATACACATGGTATTAACAACACAAGTAAACACAGGACAAAAAAACCTGATATCCATGAAAGTTTAATTACTTGAAGGATTGAGGTAAGTAAAATATACCGTATTTTCTCTAATAAATGCCCACAGTGCAGGGATGCCAACAGACCATTTGGAAAAAAGAGGAAACTCAAAGGCGATGGGTCATGGGGGCCGCGTAGGCCCCCATGCAGATCCAAGGCAGAGCTTTACAGAACTTTACAAATAACCCATCCCGAAGATAGTAAATATCAATCTTACTAAATTATGAAGCTGGGGTTCATTTGTATGTTAACAGCACATAATGACGTAATAAATATGTGAACTCTAAAAGCCCTTTTAATTGATGAATGACAATAAACACTCCTGAGAGATACACGCGACACGTTTTCATTTTCTTGAGACTATTTATTTAGACTTAATCAAATCGCAATATACGTAAGATAATTTAAATCAAGGCATCATCAAAAATATTACTGTACTTTTGCAGTTAAAATGATCAAAGTTAACAGTATTTTTTTTTTATTTGCGAAATCTAGTTCTTACGCGATGTCAATGTCATATTTTTCTACACTTGTTTCTCTCAAACAGGTAACTTCATCTCATCATAACGTTATTGGCCTTACATCATAAAATACAATAATACGAAAAATGAGTACAGAAGAACAAACAGACACACTCCAGCAATTCTATTAACCGCGATCTACTTTTTTCTAGCTATCGATCTTTTATGTTGAACAGAATTTTCTGGTTTGTATATGCAGTGCATTATATGTCTGTAACTATTCCAGTCGATTAATCTATTGATAGATCCCTGCTCTGACCTTTTATTTGTATAACAATAT